TCTCTCTCTCTCTCTCTCTCTCTGATTTTGCAAACTTGGGCTGTGCCAGAAGAAGAAGATGAAGATAGTAAGAAGAAGAAGAAGAAGAAGAAGGAGAGGAGTAAGACTCACCTTTACCGATGGACGGTGGGGCGGGGCGATGGCGATCCAATGCGGGGCCGGACGTGGGGGGGCGACGCAGTCTCGACCTCGTCCATTTTCGACGAAGGGTCGAAGTGACGGGTTGTGCTGCTCGAAAGCAGTTGGAGGCTGGAGGCGGGATGGTGGGGGCGGTGGCTCGGGAACGCATTGATGGCAGGCCGATGTTCCGGTGGTTTCCTGCACGATGTAAAAAAACGGGCGGCCTATCTGGGCCGCAGATCTCACGAGATTGACGGCCCAGATAGGCCGCCAGTTTTTCAATATTCTGGCGGGCGTACCGGACCCGGTTAATTTTTTTGGGGGCTGGGAGGCCTCCACAACCCCCGTGGAGGCCTCCCTACCCCCCAAGATTCAAACCCCCCGCAATCAAAATGCGCAAATTGCAACCTAAGGGGATCGGGCGCGGTCCACTGGCCGTAGAACCGGCCCGGTTCCCATGGGACCGGGTATTCAGCCTTGCAGATTGGACCGTTTCTCGATTTATGCGTGTCATCCTTGCGCAGGGGCCATGCCGATTAATCTTCTCTGTATTGTTCCAATTTTAACGTATGTCCCGGAAGGACTTCTTTTCTTTTTAATTAAGTTGGAACATTTCTCAATTTATGTGTGTCATCCGTGCGCAGGGGCCATTCTCATCCTCTCTGTATCGTTCCAATTTTAACGGATGTCCTGAAGGATGACACTCTTCCCTTTCGTTTTTTTTTTCTCCTCTTAATGATTTCATTGTGCGCATCGTCATTGGCTTTTGTCCCTACCTTTTCTTCTCTCACTTTTCCTGCTTGTGGTCATGATCCCCTCTCTTCTTCTTTTCTTTCCTTTCCCATTATCTTTGCTTTTCTTTTTTCGTTCCCCACCCTTCTTTATGTCTGTTGTGTTCTCTCCGCTTCTCTCTCTCATTCCCCGTCTGTCTGTCTCTTGTTTTTCCTGTTCTATCATCTCCTATGTGCTTTTTCTTTTGTCACTCCTTTTCCCCTTCTGTGGGCCTCCGTGAGCCTCGCAGCAGGCAGCAGTGACCAGAAGGTAAGAACACGGGGCAGACGTCTCTCATTCCTCGTCTGTTCATCTTGTCTCTTTTTTCTTCCTTCTTGTTTTATCAAACAATCCTACTAAGCTTATCGGCCGCGGCACCGAGTCTTGCATCTGCAATGGTCCACGTTAGTGTTTTTGCATCGCGAAGCGTGAGACGTCCGATGTAAAATTCTGACACGCGATCGTTTGCATCTCGAAGTGTGAGACGTCCGATGTAAAATTCTGACGCGTCTGACGCGTTTGGGGTTTGTTTTTTTCTCGGGGAGTCCGGTTTCGTTCGTTTTTGCGTTCTCTTTTATGCTTTGGGCCTCGCTGCATCACGGTCATGATTTTTTTTTTTTTTTTTTTTTGTGGATGTCTAGACGCGTTTGGCGGTTTCGTTTCGTTTATGCGTAGTGCAGCGAGGCCCTTTGTCGTTGGCTGTCGGTGGGTGCTTGGGGCCGGTCGGTGTCG